CTTTTTTCATCCTTTTTTATTGGCTCAAGGAGAATGTAATTCAGATGACTCTGATACTGAAGAAACCCCACCACGCAAAGAAGTGAAGTTTAAAAGAACAACCCGTACTCGCCCTGCACAGAAGAGAACTGATGAGTCCAAAACAGTTCCTCAAAGGCCCAGATCAACCTCAAGACCTGCCAAAGAGACAACATCTAGCTCGACAACACCAACCACCTCCCCAGGGGGAGGCACCTCGGGAGACAATAAGGGGCTAAAAGTTAGTGGAAAGAGAGTTTTTCCTGTCAAGAGTATCCGAAAACCTGAGGATGATGCTACACTGCTTGTAAGTACAATACTTCATTTTACAGTTTTGTTCAGTGACCACCAATAATAGTTCAAGACGATGTTGGAGTTGCTGCCCGTGATAAAAAGTATAGTTTTGCTATGTGCAGCCTTGACTCGGAACTATTATTTATGGTCACTGAACGGAACTTTACAAAGGAGTATTGATGTTATAAAATCATGAGGGGTGTGCATTGCTCATGCCCCACCTCTCACCTAGGTGAACCAGGTTTGATTCCTGGGCTCGGTGTCCTATGTGCAAATTTAGAAGGTGGATTGCCTAAGTAGAGTCGTCACCTTTAGACTTTGTATTGGCACCCTTAATAGTACAAAGATACTAGATTCACATCTGTTACAAGTATGCATTGGTCTTCAGTTTACTTTTGCTAGGTTTCTGTAGACCTCTTTACCTTGGGTCTAATGTTTTCTCATTCCAGACCACGTGTCATTCTCTTGAGAATAAGATTCTTTATGTTTTACCCACTGATTCCCAATTAGTCAGGTGCTGCATTGTCCGAGCTTGTTTACAAGGCAAGAAAAACTCAGGCTAGTCTTTGTTTGAGTTGTGTCCATATTTATATGTCTTCTCATGTGCAACCGTTAAACAAAGAAATGATACTCAAGGGAATGACACATGGTCTTGAGAATAAGATTCTTTGTTTGAGTTGTCCATATTTATATGTCTTCTTATATGCAACTGTTAAACAAAGAAATGATACTCTAGGGAATGACACATGGTCTGAAATAGGAAAACATTACGCCCAAGGTAAAGAGGTTTTCTTATGTCATAACAAACAGATACTGTATAGTTTATATATATATATATTTTTTCAGTCTCTTATTCAAGAGTTAGACAGTGAAAGAGAAAGACGTTGGAAGGCAGAGCAAGCAGGGCGTAAGCTACTGGACCACATACAAGCTATGCACGCTAAAGGTAATTATAAAATAACTGTTATGAATATCGCATTCTTATTGGTTGGGAGCGCGTGCTTTATGAGAGCACACAGCACGCACGCGCCCTTGTATTTTTTGAAAAAATAAAAATCTTGCTCACTGTGTTGTGTGGAGTTATAAAGTACTTGGGGATTGGCACAACACTCGAGAAGTGTCCGCTACGCGTCGTGCTTCTCAAAACACTTCTTTCGTGTTCTACCTATACCCGCATGCTTTATAACAGCACACAGCACGCGCGCGCGTTTTCCATTTCTTCACTAGAACTGAAAAAATACGGCATAAATGTACCGTGCCATGGCGTGACTATAACATTGCTAAAAAAGTCATGAACAAAATGGTTTATGCAACTGTTCTCGCTGCATAATTAATTAGCACGGAGCAATGTATGTTAACTTCACACACATGCCTTATTGGACTTAGTGCAGTTTTCGTATGACTGTGAAAAGTTCACGGCACGAACACGGTCGTGACACAGCAAGGGATACGCGAGACAAATTACATTGCACTCTCCATCCAATCAAATACCCGGAACACGGCATAAACACGGCGCGGACACGGTCACGCCAAGATCACGGCACTTTTAGACCAATCATATTGCGCGTGAAAAAAATCAGCCAATTAGAATTCTAGAAAGTATCACGGTCACGTCACGCTTACGGCACTGAGCTTTTCAAAGTCATACGAAAACTGCACTATTATGTAACATAGTTTGAAGCGTAGGAAGTTGCATTTTGCCCCACCCCCTCCCCTGGTGCCAGTGGTCTTCCATTTCCTCACTGATTACCTCATATCACAGCACTGACGGATCTCATCCCACGTCTTAACTACTGTGGCATCGTAATGGGTATCGGTGAAGATATAATTCTAAGCTTCATGCCTCTCTTATTCCATGTTATTATATTTTAGTATAAATACACAGGTGATTATCGAAAATCTCGCGCGCTGATTGGTCGAGAAACTCAGATCATCACACGATAATCACCTCCAGCGACAATCCAAAATGGCGAACAGCCGCTTTGTTGCTGTTTCTAATCTTAAATGTGTCTTTTATCTTCTTTCCCCCTTTTTTTGAAAGAATCACCTGTGTATTTATACTAAAACAATTATTCACCTCAGGCTCAGTGAATATCGGGAATAATAACCTCAACTTCGTTTCGGTTATTATTCCCCGATATTCACTTTGCCTTCGGCGAATAATTGTTAATTGATGATCGTTTAATTGGTGTTCATGCAGGCGCTGAAGAAAAAAAGCTACAAGAAGCTGCCCTAGCAGCCAGCGCTAGGTTAAAACAAGCATTAGTCAAAGAGAGAGAATCCAAAAGTGCGCTACAAAATATCGTTGCTGAACTCCAGGTACTGTAGATTAGGGCTTTAATCACTGTAGCTCTCGTGTCATCCAACTATTGCAAAAATGTGCGCAGCAGAAGAAAGAGGGGTAGCATGGGTGGCGTTCGCGGCTAACGCGTAGTCTTTCACCGCTGTGAGTCCAACGGGTCGGGTCGCTGGTTCAAGCCCTGTGGTCGCCATATGTGAATTGAGTTTGTTTGATGTGTTGTTCTCTCCTATGCTACGAGGGTTTTCTCCAGGTTCTCCGGTTGCCTTCCTCCGTAAAAATCAACATGTGAGCTGAGCGTTGTGTGCATAGAACATTTAATGTAGTGGTAGTGTGTGTGAGCGAAAAGTGTCCCCAATTAGTGCGACAGCGCTAGAACGACTAGACACTTCAATGAAAGTGATTTATTTTAATTTTTTGATTCAACTTACTGTGCAAAACGCGTACGCGTGTCGTGCCTGTGATGGTGCGATGCCAAGGCATTCTGATTGGATGGGAGGGATCTTGTGCGCTGTGATTGGTTCAAATGATGTCGTCATTTCCTTACCAAGACTGTGCCGATTGGCTCCAGTTGGCTCCGAGTATCGATTAAACCCGATATTCGATCTTCTCTTTTGCATAAAAATTATTGGTTCCGATACCCTGGGCGCCAGGCCTCTGGCGCCCAGGGTATGGTTCCGATCGATTCCGAACAGAATCCGAAAATTATAACGATAATTACACRCTCACTCGATGACATAGTGGCTACCACTATGAAGACATTTTAGCCACACAAAAATTATATTATTTAGAGAGAATTCTTTTCGTATTCAAGCAGTGAGCGCCAAAAACTATTTTCTTGAAGAAAGGCTGTTGTACAAGGCTAAAATCTTGTTATTCAGAAAATTAACTTGTTTGGAAGTGGAGATGACCGATGAAAGTGGAATCAGTTTAACCCAAAGCAAAAATTCTATTTGAAAATGAGGTTTAGGCCTTCATTTGCTTATTTCCAATATATTTTCTATAAAAAAAGCCTGACAAAGCAACATTCTAACACAAATGCAACAAAACATCTTTGTAGAATTGAAAATACCGCTTCAAACAGGCATTTTATCATAGTACATCAGTTTCTAACTGTTTAAAAAAGGTTTTGAGTGTTAACCCAAAATGAAAATTGGGATCAAAACTCATGCGAAACTCTAGCGCTTTTTGGCATTATTGCTCGTTATTGAAAAAAATTTCCTCTTAATTGTGAACATTTTCTATTTCTCTACATTTTGTTTTGATCTTTTTCTCTTTTTGTAGGCTAGGAATAGAGACTTGACAGATGAGATACAAAGGCTAAAAGAATCGAACGAGGAGCAACGGTTAACACTGCGAAACATGGAAGAAACAGCAGCTAATATGGAAACAGAAATGATCAAAAAACACGCGCACGAGGTTGGTGTTATAAATCTTAGAGATGCTTAAAGTAACATGAAGTACATGAGAGATGAGGCGGTAACCCGTGTGGGATGGGCTCGGAACATGCATAATAGGTAAATTACGAGCCTTGTATGAAACGACTGAAGAAGAGGGCCAATGGGCCTTTCACAACTTCAAGTCGCGTAAAATGAGCCAGCTCAACTAGAAACCGTAACTTGATGTACAGTTGAACTGGGTTGCACGGGTCATGTAGCGGTGCGGGGAGCGCTCGCCTGTCACCAATGCGACCAAGGTTCTATTCCCGCCAGGCTCGCTATAGTACACTGTACGTGGGTAGAGTTGTTTGTTGGTTTTCTCCTGTGCTTCAATATTTATTTCCGGTTTTCCTCCCTCCTCAAAAATCAACTCCTAAATTCCAATTCGATCACGGAATGAGGGCCACAGGTTTGTTAGCCACTGGCTATTAAGTGCTACTCTCGTAAACAAGGACGGCTGCGCAACAATAAAACGGTTACGCGCAACATTACTGGTGACAGTTTTCGTGGAATGTCACACGAAATACTGCATCAAATCAGAAGAGCATTTATTGTTTTGATAACTAAAAACGACATCAAAATAGCCAACGGAAAGAGCGCGCCCGCGCTTGTTGACGCACGGGAGTAGGGTAAGGCAAAATTTAAACTGCATCCAGTTTCTAAAAATAGCCCAACCGGGAATGTACATGGCGCGCGCGATATTAAGAAGTTTCCCTCTCTTATAAATTTTCTCTTGATCAAAACTTAGGGAACATCACCCCCCCCCCCCCAAAAGTGTCCGTTACTTTCAGAATATCAAACCATTATCAGCAACGTTGAGATTTGTTGCGCGCAACGATGAATCGACTTTCGCAACGTTGCCGGTTACGTTGTGGATAACTTTTGTAGAGGAGTGGACACTCTCCAGTTTTACAGGGGACAACGCGCGCAAAGGTTCAATGAGACAAATGCGAAAAATTTCCTATGAGCCATTTTGGGGGTGGGAATTTTAGCGTATGATGCTGACCCTCTACGGATTACATGTCTATGTTTGTTATTAGGTATCTAGAGTATTAGTCAAAGGAGTGGGGAAAATGAAGAATTATTTTTTCTATAAAAAATTTCTAATATCTAATTTACCAAGGTGGTCGGCAGAAAGCCTAACAGGTTTTACAACCCACTTTATAAAACAGCTGTTAGATAGAAGGAGTAGGTTTTTGAGGAAGGAAAAAGCGGAGAACATGGAGAAAAAACCCTCGAAGCACAGGAGAGAATCAACAAACAACTCTACTAACATACGTATACGAGACCAAGCCCGGAATTGAACCAGGATCGCATTTGTGAGAGGCGACACATTAGCAGCGCACGCGATCCGTAATTTCATTTTTTTTTTTCGTTTTTTTTAAAATTATTTTCTTTTTCGTTTTTTTTTTTTTCATTTTTTTCATTTTTTTTCATTTTTTTCATTTTTTCCCCAGGTGTCTAAGGCACAAGAGCACCAGATGAAGGCAGCAGCCAGTGCGCGAGAAGCAGAACTCTTCAAACACACCTCAGAACAACTAAAAGGACAACTGCAACAACTACAGGAGCTACTTGCATCTCGAGAACAGGAACACAAGTTAATGCTTTACTAAGTCGATGAGGCTTGTAACTCCTCAAACTTTTTCTTTCATTCGTTCTTTTGTCTTCTTCATCGTCGTCGTCCTCTTGTTTTTGAAAGTGTTTTTAAGGGCAAAAAATGTTTCAAGATTTGCATGGGAAAAGTGTTGGCTGATAAGCTTTTGCCATCCAGCGCATTTTCCTATACAAATCCTTATAAAACAGTCAATTTTATTCTCTACTCACACATCCCCATAATCCTTTGCGACTTTGGGGGGTAACCAGAGGATAAAACCCCACTTATTTTGCTGAAGGCTGATCAGACAATGTTGACAATACCTTGTTTGGTATCCAAAAATAAAATGAAGAAGTAAAAAACAGAAAAAGATAGAAGCTTGAAGACGTTTAAGGTAAATTTTAAACATTTTTTCGTAAGTCAATACATTTTCTGTAATACCAAAACTCTTGATGGTCTATACACGCAAAAATAACTTGGAATAAACTGATAATCAGTATTGTACAGATAAAATCAGGTATAGTATAAATTCAATTAAGAAACCTTTCAATTTGGGACAGTTTTTTGATTGGTTACCCCCCCCCCCCAAAGTTTTAAAGGGAGGCAGGTTCACGTGACCTGTTCAAGTCGTCTATTGATTCGTTTTTACTCTTTCAGGGATGCATTTCAGGGAATGGTCAAGGTGGACAGTGCGCAGATGCGAGACGCAGTTGATCGTGAAATCGCGAAACAAGAAGCAAGATACGAACAAGTCATCGCTCAGTATCAACAACGGTGAGTTGTGTGCTGCTTGCTGATAACGTAAGTCCCTGCGGTCAGGGAACGATGCCACAGGTATTTTAGCTAATGGCTAATGAATGTTACCCTCGTTAAGTGAGGACGATTTATAAGCGACCTTTAGATCCGAAGACGAGTACGAGATTGAGTACGAGTACGAGTTTTAAAATTGGTCCTGTGCACGAGGTTAACACTGAATCGTAGTCGATTTCCGATTTTTTACAGTCTAAAGCTATCATCTACGTACACGATCACGAGTACAAAAAGATAGTGCCTCTCATTAAAAGTTAAAAACTCGTACTCGTACTCGTACTCGTCGTCGGATCTAAAGGTCTCTATTAATACAGTGACAGACGGCTTATCAGATCCTGGACTAAAGCTATTTCAAAAAACGTTGGTGAAGGTTTTGTTGCATGTAGCATACCAAGTTAGAAATACACTATGTGAGATGTGAATTCAATAAGCGTACTGTACTGACATTATTGTCATATGAATAGAATACATTACAAGCTTTGTATGTATCAAGCAACTGAGGCTTCACCATCGTATATAGCCATATATAGAATATTAGAGATCAAACGCGCGCGCTGATTGGCTGGCTACCGTGTTTATATCAGAGGACAGAAACACGCTGGCGCGAAATCATTCAAAAATATTTTATAAAAGCGATATAAAACTGCTTATGTCCTTGTACTGTGATATCTCTGGGAGCTCTAGAGCACGAGAGAAGCAAGAGAAGCACTCTACTACGCCTCGAGTTCCTAAGCTTGCTTCTCTCGTGCTCTACAGCCCCAGCGTGTTTATATCACAGTACAGGGACATGCACGCGCTTTTTATATTCCTTAAATACAAATAGCCATACACTTATTTCAATAAAGTTAGTCGCCTGAAAAGCTACAAAGCTGAGACCGGCAAGGATTATGGGTAGATACATTTTACATGTTTCAACCGCTTGATAACTGTTGATGGACTTGAGATCTTCTACCAGTTACAAGTTAACCTCCTCTGAGCATCCTCAACTGCTGCAGTTTGTGTCAAAAGCTTTACTTGTTGGATATAGAATATTTCCCATGATTCTAAGCGATCACAGCTTTCTAGGTTTTTGTTGACTAACTTTATTGAAATAAGTATATACAAAAACGTGAAATCGAAATGCTTTTAAAAAATTCCCATTATTTCATTTTAGTTATTTTATTCACTCATTTATTTTCCATTTGTGGTTGTAGACTGGAAAAAAAGGACGCTGAATACGTAGCTTTAGAAGATGAGTTCAGGATGGGCCTCACAATAGAAGCTAATCGTTTCAAAGAGGTAGCGTATCCAGTTGATAATCATTTTTATTACACATTTAGATATACGATCTCACTTTACGGTAAACTGTGAATATTCCAGTTTCGAGTTCTCTGTTGCTCAGGCTTAGCCTCAACTTGGTATAGAACATTCATTTGTTCCAGTCAAGTCCGTGGAATTTCAAAGTGTTTGTATCGCTGAAGTTGTGCATTCTTTACTTTACTGTTGGTATTTGTGAATATTTAGACACTGATTCGAGGCTAACCCTGAGTAAATGCGTCTGTAATCAAGGAACACAGCGGTAATTCGGAACTCGAAAAGGGCCTATCGCGTTATTGTATCCATTTAAAAAAAATATTACATGTCAAAGGCCCTGTTACGCGACGCCATCTTCCTTGCGACTTGCAATGCAACGCCGTTGTGTGTTGCAAAATGAAGAAAAGATACCGAAGCAAGTTGCATTGTGTAACATTTATTTCGTAACCTTCAATGCAAACACTGTCGCAAATGACCAATCAGAGCCCAGCTCTTCCACATCAACGCTGACATATCCGGTTTTATCGCAGACCAAGAAAGCATTGCGTTGCAAGTTGTGAAGAGAGTTGCACACGTCTGACATCTCACCTGCAATTTGCAATGCTTTGCATTCATCAGCATTGTATTGCAAGTTGCAAGGAAAATTGCCCCGAGTAACAGTGTCTTAAAGGTCGTGTTATACGAGTTGATTTTTCGCGCAACATTTTGCAACAAGTTGTCCTCGTGTAACATGGCGCGCGGTTACAATTCTTAACGATATTCTGTTTGAACGACCTTTAATACCCACAACATTGTTGCCATCGATTTTTGTTGCCACGCGCAATAGCCCACTTCCGAGATATGCTTCGCTTGTCACGCAAAGAGGTTTTCAGTACGAGGCTACGTGCTAAATGCTCAGTCATTGGTGACAGGCGGTAAGTATAAATTTAATTTAGCACGTAGCCTCATACTGAAACCTTTGTGCGTGACAAGCGAAGCATATCTCGGAAGTGGGATATTATGTAACGCGAGGTCAACTTTCAACACAGCAATGTTGCACCAAAGTCGTCTCCTGTAGCATCGGTTTAAGAGCCTGATATCTTTTTTATTCAGTCTTTTTTCTATATCTATTTGTTCACTTGCTCGTTTGAGATATGATATGGAAAAATGATATCAAACTCTTAACAAGTAATAATCTTCATACATTAGTCAACTATGTGACTGCTTTATTATTCATTGCCATAAGACTTTAGTTCCGTACAGTCTAGAGCAGAGTTATCCATCCATTCTCTTGAACTAACATGGCTTTATGAGGCTCATTCTATTGTATTCTATGGTGCTTCAGTTGCAGGAAGCATTTGAACGCGTAAGCGAAGAAGCCGCTCAGTACAAGTTATCAGTACAGACATCGACACAGAAAGAAAGTAAAGCCACTAGTATGGTCAATGAACTGACTGCGGTGAGTGCACGACTAACTAGAACAAGCCACTAGTATGGTTAATGAACTGACTGCGGTGAGTGCGCGACTAACTAGAACAAGTCACTAGTATGGTCAATGAACTGACTGCGGTGAGTGCACAACTTCCCTGCTAGCAGAGTCTCTCTTCTCTTTCTCTCCCTTCTTTCAGGCGGGGAGGAAGGAGATCCTGCCGATGTAGAGCGTTTCCTGTGATACACCGCCGTCCACGATTGTGGACGAACGAAACCAGTTTTGAAACCGGTTTCTAACCGATTACATGTAGTGCGCATGAGCAAATGTAACAAACCGTGGCGCCAAACATTGTTTGACGAGAGCGGCTGTCAAAATCATGACAGCGTTGCTAAGTTACGCCACGCAGGCGCGACAAGTATAACGTCCTACATCGGCAGAGTCTATTTTTATACCTAATCCACTGTTTTCCCAATTCAGACCACGTGTCATTCCCTAGAGTGTCATTGGCTTGTTTGACGGTTGCGCATGAGAAGACAGATAAATATAAATACAACTCCACAAACGAAGAATCTTATTTTCGAGTTAATGAGATGTGGTCTGAAATGGAAAAACAGTCGCACCCAAGACAAATTAGGTCTATTGCGCAGACTTTCTCTTTCCCTTGAGTATTACACTTATATTTATCTTTTTATTTCTTTGTGTTTATCTTTTTATAACCAGTTTTACTTGGGCGTCATATTTTCCTATTCAGATACCATATCTATCGTGTTCACTCGTTCAGTTATTTTTGAAACTTTGAGAGAACGGCGCCATGCCGACACTGAACGGTTTGTACTTCGAAATATTTGCTTATAAAATTTGAAAGAATTGTCTGTTTTAATCTCTCTCGTGCAGATGGTGAAAGAACAGCGCGTTCGTCTTACGGAGCTCTCCAAGGGAAGACAAGAGATAGTGGCCGAATATAAAGTGAGTATCAATATTGGTGAAGCTTACTTACACTGAAAAGCTAAAGCTGAATATTTGGTTTGACAGGAAAGAATCCAGCATCTTGAATCCCAACTGAACGATGCTCGCAGACAGCTGACAAGACTAGAGATTCTAGAACAGGTTTGTTGATAACTAGACAGTTAGGGCCAGACACACCATGGATATTGAGATGACCA